CGTGTTGAGACTATCTAAGGAAAGTTGCATTCTTTCAGAATTGGGAAGCACAGATGGTGACTCATTCAGTCTGGCTCCACACACCCAGCCCAGTGCGGAGGATCCTGCCGAGGGGATACATGCAGCCCGCTTTACTCTGCTCCCAGTACTGCCTCCGGCCGGGAGGAAGCGCCTGGTGACGTCATATACCACGCCGATCACCACAGGCGCACTCAGCTGATGAGGAAGCAGTGCAATTCTCCACTTACAGTGGTCACCTCACCATGTTAACCACTTGCCTACTGGGCACTTTTACCCCCACCCTGCCCAGGCCAGCTTTCAGTGCCATCGTACTCTGACAATTGTATCCCTGTACCCAAACAAAATTTTGTATCATTTTTTTCAGACAGAGCTTTCTTTTGATGGCATTTAATCTCCACTGGGTGTTTTATTCTTTGCTAAACTAAAAAACACAGAAAATTTTGAAAAAAATTAAAGTTTTTTTCTTTGTTTCTGTTACCAAATTTTGTAAATAAGTAATTTTTCTCCTTCACTGATGTGCGCTAATGAGGTGGCAATGATGGGTACTGATAGGTGGCACTGTGGTACTGATAGGCATCATTGATGGGCACTGAAAGGCAGCACTGATGGGCAGTTATGTTGGCCACTGATGAGAAGGCATTGAGCGGCATCACTCATGGGCACTGAAAGTCAGCACTCATATGTGGCAGTGATAGGTGGCACTGAAAGGCAGCACTGATGGGCACTGATATGTGGCATTGAGCGGCATTACTGATGGGCACTGGAAGGCAGCACTCATGTGGCAGTGATAGGCGGCACTGATATGTGGCATTGAGCGGCATTACTGATGGGCACTGGAAGGCAGCACTCATATATGGCAGTGATAGGCGGCACTGATATGTGGGATTGATGGGCACTGAAAGTCAGCACTCATTACTGATAGGGGCACTGAAAGTACAGCACTCATATGGCAGTGATAGGCGGCACTGATACGTGGCATTGAGCGGCATTACTGATGGGCACTGAAAGACAGCACTCATATATGGCAGTGATAGGTGGCACTGAAAGGCAACGCTGATGGGGAGACACTGAGCAGCATCACTGATGGGCACTGAAAGGCAGCATTCATATATGACAGTGATAGGCAGCACTGAAAGGCAGCTCTGAAGGGCACTGATATGTGGCATTGATGGGTACTGACAGGCTGCAATTATGGCCATTGAACGGCAGTATTGATGGGGGGCACTGATGATCAGGGCACTGATTATCAGTGTAGATGTCCCCTCTGAGAAATGCTGCTAACTGGCTCTCCTCTCCTCATTCACTGTCAGTGTGAGGAAAGGAGAGCCGACAAGCAGCATTTCCCATTTACATGTGATGAGCTGTGATTGGACACAGTTGATCACATAATAGAGCTGGCGTCATCAGCTCTTTACTGCAATCGGTGATCCGCTGTGTCCCAGGGACACAGTAGATCACCGATCGCCGTGCACCCCCGGGGGCGCGCACATGCAGCTAAAGTGGGAGGACATCATATGACATCTTTCCAGGATGAGATCGCCACGCCACCGCCTGTCATTTCCTTATATGGAGGGTGGGAGGCAGTTAAAGGTTATAAACCTCAGACATGAAATATGAACAAACCGCATCCTCGATAGTGTGCTCTTGTCTCTATCCAAAACACTACGTGTAATTTCTGTCTGCTGCTTCTGACAAGTTTTCCTGACACCAGGAGAAAAATGTTGATAGGGGAGGGATCTGCAACACACAACTTGTGATTGACAGACTCAGCTCTTTTCTTGTGTGCTCTGTGAAGGAGGGTGTGTCCCTTCCCTCCAATCAGCTCTCAGAACCTCACTAAGCTCCACAGTGTGTAACTTCAAGTGATATAAAACGTTTGTTTTTTTATTAAAATAACAAACATATCTATACTTACCTGCTCTATGCAGTGCTCCTCTTCTGAAGTCCCCGCAGTCGCTCAAGGCCCCTCCTCTTTAGCGTGCGCCCCCCTGGAAAGCCGCTTTCACCCATGCTGGCTCACTCCCAAGCTGCCCTGTCTGCGCCCCCTAACAGAGCAAGTGGCTCCCGTGTCACAGCATTTGATTGACAGCAGCAGGTGCCAATGGCTAGAGCTGCTGCACATCGCTGGATCGGATTGGGCTCGGGTAAGAAAGAAGGGAGTGCTGGGGGGGAGCTGCAGCACAGAAGATGTTTCACCCTAATGCATTAAAGTGAAAAACTAAGGCTTTAGAACCACTTTCAGCTCTCTGCACCATTTTTTTTTTTTGACAGCTCAGACAAGCTTTATAAACCCAGCACTTTGATTGGATGTAGAGAAGACTGAAGATAAACAGGTACAGCTTATGTAAAAGGATTAGTTTCATCTCTGTGTATCACCTGAGGCCAGTCACTTTACTGGGTATATGTAAGGGTTTACAACCACTTGCCGATCGCCACAATGTACTGTGGACAGGTGGCCCGTGCAGGCAAAGGAACATACTGGTACGTCACTGCCTGCTTCTGACTTTAGGATGTGCGCCAACACCCCTGGGATTGTACACAGCAGGAGCCTGTTAGCAAGTCCCAGCCAATGATTCACAGCTGGGACTAGGTGATCGGCTGTGTCCAATCACAGCCCAGAGCTCTGTGTTGACGATCAATACAGAGCTCTGTACAGAGAGAACGAACACTTAGGGTTTCTCAGGGATGAGAAGCAAAGAGATCTCTTAGTAAAAGCAGCAGATAATACACACATTACACTTTGGTAGGCACCAGCACTCTGCTCCGCCTCTCCTGCAAATACCAGCATAATGGAAAGAAAGAAAATTGCACAATCTATGGCCTACATTGGTTACTTATGTAAAGTCCATCTGTGACAGATCCAATCAGAACAGGGGCTTTTGAAGAGGACTGCAGGCTAGCTTCTTGCCTACTGTCCATGACCCTGTGTAATGGACCGCCTGACGGCACCACTAGCACTCCACTGGTCAGTTGTTCCCAGAGCACGGAATCTAAGCCCCAGAGTACTTGTTCACCAGGGCCCCTGATGGTGGGGATGGACTTGGAGTACCCCGAGACCAGGTCGCGACTACTGAGTACACCCGTCAGTAGTAGGGGTGTTCGCCAGGGGCTCCAACAGGGGAGAGCCTGATATGAGGAGGTCGGGTGACCCCGATGGGATGGATGGATGGCTGAGCAAGTGCGAAGACAGACAGGCCGAGTCGGTAACAGAGAGGACGGTACGGTACAAGGCAGCGGGCGGAGAATAGTCGGGTCACACGCCAGGTCAGCAACAGCAGGTCAGATCTAATGGGGGGCATTCAGGAGAGAGGTCAGGCAAAGCAAGGGTCTGGGCAGGAGAAATCAGCAGGTCAAGAACAATCCGGGTCAATAATTTACTAGGTACAGGTTCGCAGGATACAGGTAAGACCAGAAGGCACTGAATGACAGCTCAGGGCCATTTAAATATCCCGCCCTGCGCTGTCATTGGTGCCATGCACGCGCGCCCCGCGGTCCCTACTGCGCATGCGCAAACTCACTCACCGCGGTCGGCCAGGTCCCAGTGCCCGCATTCCAACACAGGGTGGTGCACTGCGCCTGCGCCGAGCCCATCGCGGCGGTGATCCCTGACACCCTGGCATCTGAGGGGGCTCTATTCTTCAGGAGGTGTGTGCCTGGGGGGGACCTTTGGAGTAGTTTACTTCAGTTTATTAAGTCCATCTCCCTAAAACACACAGACTCTAAGAAATGGTGCCAGGATACAGATTTGGGGTCTCTGTGCCCAAACCAGCATTGACTGCTTCAACCCCCCCTTTCTAGACTCACAGACTCTAAGCAGATGTTGAGATAATCAGCTCAAAACAACCTGATGCTGAGGACTCTTCCTCTAATCTGTTTTGTAACTGCTTGCCTGCCGCCCTATAGTAGAACGACTTCTACAGGGCGGCAAGGCTGCACAAAATCACGTGATACATGATTTGCATTTCCGGGTAGGGGGCGCATTAGTGGCTAGGGATGCAATCACCGGGTCCTGGCCGGAGCTTCCCTGCCGACACGCGGTGATTGCCATGTAAAAACTGATGGGAGAGACCTGTGTGTAAACAACACAGGTCTCTCTCCTGCCAGCAAGGATATGCTGCTTTGTATTGCTCTGCACAGCACAGCAATACAAAGCAGCATGTCTCCTTAGTAAAACAGCACAGAGCACACATAGTAAATCACACACAACAGTTACCCACTGATCACTGTACTAGTGTAACTGGGGCTGTTAGTGGCAGTTAATCATTTCCCCTTTGTGTCAGAATGCCCGCCGCAATCTCGCTATAAGTCTCTGATCACTGCCATTACTAGTATAAAAAAATAAAAATCCAGTATATATACCGCCATTTGTAGATGCTATAACTTTCACATAAACCAATTAATTTACACGTATTGCGATTTTGTTTAGCAAAGACATGTACCAGAATACATTTTGGCCTAAATTTTTTGACAAAATTTGATTTTTGTAAAATTTTTTACAGGATATGTTTTACAGCAAAAAGTCAAAATTATTGGTTTTTTTTTTTTTCAAAATTGTCAGACTTTTTTGTTTATAGTGCAAAAAATAAAAACCGCAGAGGTAATCAAATACCACTGAAAGAAAGCTCTGTTTGTAGGAAAAAAGGACAGAAATTTCATTTACGTACAGCGTTGCATGACTACTCAACTGACGGTTAAAGTAACGCAGTGCCATATTGCAAATAATGGCCTGGTCAGGAAGGGGGGTAAATGCTCTGGAGGGCAAGTGGTTACGGTGTCATGTGTTTACTGTCTTTCTACCATTGTGTGCCTCCTAGGTGTGCATTATTAACTGATTCCCGACAGCCATATAGCAAATACTGCTACAGGGCGGCACGGGTGCGCAAAATCACGTATATATACGTGATTTTGCATTTCCAGGTAGGGGGGCGCGCGCGGCTGTCAATCACCAGGTTCCGGCCAGTGATTACCTGGCGGCACACGGTGATTACCGACAGTCACCAGTGGGGAGGAGGGCTGCTTTGTTTGCTAACAGTTCTCCTCCCTGTCGGCTCGGACACACTGCTCTGGATAGCTGTGCATAGCCACCCAGAGCAGTGTGCTTACAGTGAAGGACACGCCCCCTAGTAAACCACTCCCAGCACACAGTTAACCCTTTGATCGCCCCTCATGTTAACCCCTTCCTGCCCAGTGCCATTAGTACAGTGTCAGTGCTTTTTTTAAGTACTGATCACTGTATTGGTGTCACTGGGGATGTCAGTGACTCCAAGTCAGTTCTCCCCAGTGTCAGAATGCCCGCCACAGTCCTGCTATAAGTCGCTGATCGCCGCTATTATTAGTAAAAAAAAAAAAAAAATTCCAGTATCTATATCGCCATTTGTAAACGCTATAACTTTCTTGTAAACCAATTCATGTAAACGTATTGGGATTTGTTTTAGCAAAAACATGTTGCAGAATACATTTTGGCCTAAATTTATAACGAAATTAGATTTTTTAAAAAATTTTTTACTGCACATGTTTAACTGCTTCCACGCCGCCCTTTAGTAGAAATACTGCTACAGGGCGGCATGGGTGCTCAAAATCATGTATATATACGTGATTCGCGCTCCCTCGGTTTTCGCGCCCATCCCAGTCAGTACACCAGTAATCACATTTACCCCTTGATTGCCAGGAACACTCTCACATACACAAAAAACTTCCATTGCTAGTATAGTTTCTAAACAGATCAATATCTTTGATCAGATCAGCACTATACCAGCATTCACGCAGCGTTAGCGGGATCAGCCTCGGCACCTGCTAGCACCTGCGTTTAGCCCCTACGCTTTCCCCCCCATCTCTCCCAGCAAGTGCAGTGTCAGTAGGTCACTGTCACTTGATACACTGCACACAAAACAGAAGCGTTCGCAGAATCAGGCGTGATCTCTGCTAGCACTTTCTGGTAAATTTTGATGACTCTCATATGCAGCAGAGTGCCAGTACTAGTGCCACTCTACCTTTTGGTGAACTGGCGAGTACCAGCGGCCTAGTACATCCTGGTCTTTCACATACCAGCACTGCAGTATCACTTGGTGACGTGGCGAATCCCATAAGTGCAGTACAAGCTGGTGTGGTGGCTAACACAAGTAGCGTCCTGCAGCCACCAAGAATTCGCACACAGGCCCATAGAGCCCCAAGTATCCTTCCGGATGTGCTTGCAAATCTCGATTGGCACCCCACAAATTCTGCAGCACCTGTACTTCCCCCATTCACTGGCCAACCCAGAATTTAGGTGGAAACAGCAAATTTAACTCCTCCCCTTGATTTTTTGGAGCTGTTTTGCACTGAAGATCTGTATGCATTGATTGTGGATCAGTTTATGCACAACAGTTTATTGCTGCCAACCCAAATTTAAACCTTGCCAGGCTATTCGCATAGAAACCCATTACAGTTTACTCATTTTAAGTTTTTTTTGGGGCCTAACACTCAACATGGGCATTACTAAAAAAAATTAATTGCAAATGTATTTGTCCACAGACCCGATTTATCATATGCCCGTGTTCTCTGCTGCCATGGCCAGGCATAGATATGAGAGTATAATGCATTTTATGCATTTCAATGACAATACACTCTGTCGTCCTCGGGGTGACTTTGAATTTGACTGGCTCCACAATATTCGGACCCTCGTATATCACCTGAACTAAACATTTGCAGATGACTATACTTCCCAGCAAAACATCTGTGTTATTTTTATGGCCGACTTGCATTCAAACCATTTCTCCCCAGAAAGCATGCCAGATATGGGGTCAAGATGTATAAGATCTGTGAGGGCAACAGGCTATACATATAAGTTTTGGATTTATGAGGGAAAAGATAGTCACATGGAGCCCCCCAGATGCCCAGACTACATAGGGAGCAGTGGCAAGATAGTTTGGGACTTGGTGTCATCCTTTTTCCATATGGGGGTACCACTTATATGTGGCCAATTTTTATTCAAGCATGCCACTATTTAGACATTTGTACAATCTTGGAATTGGCGTATGTGGCACCATGCGACCTAATCTCTGGGGCTTCCCCCAACGGCTTTAAATACACATCTTAGAAAGGGGGAAAAGCCTACTTGAGAAATGAGAATGTCATTCAGCTGCAGCACCGACTTGTTTATTCTGACAGCAACAGGGACTTGCTATCAGAATATACATAAGTAGGTATGTGCAGTGCTCTTGGATTAGATTTTTCATCCGCAGTTAAAAAAAGAGCCTGGGGAGGCCAGTGGGTGGATGGCCCCTCTGCTTCGGCATATATATTTTATATTTTTTGGCATATTTCATGTGTGTCCACAAATAGAAGTGGGTGGATTCAGGGAGGTATATTCTAATGGTGGGCATACCGCACACTTTTTCTGGCAGAGATTTCTTCTCTTTTTTTCATTCAGCCCACAGGCTGCATAAAAAAAAAGAACATAGCATATACATCCAACAATAAACAGTGACGTACTGGTACTTTGAGTGTTTTTTTTTCAGCTGGCAATTGGCTTTCATGTAAAAGCAATCCTAGTGGCTGATTAGTTGCAGGATTGCTGTTACAAGGGCATTGCTGTTACAAGGGCATTGTCATATATTCTTTTTTGAGAAATCTGGGGTCTCTCAGACTCTAGATATCTCCTCTGCCCGTACATTATCTAATCTCACCAAGATCGGTGTGATAAGATGCTTTCCAAATTTACAAATGGCGCTGTTTATATCCTGCGAAACTGAAGTGATGAAATGCTTGTAGCTTCCAAATTCTTAGACTATAGAGATGATTGGCACCATTCCGGTCTCCAATCAGCTGTATGGTCAGCTGGCAGAAACACCGGCTGCATTCTCAGGTTCCCCCGATGGCACAGGACTGCCCGAGAAGGCCATGTAAGGCAGCAGGGAAGGGGGGGTAAATCCTCAGGAGGGCAAGTGGTTAATTGAGTTGAGTCACCTATTGTTTCTGTATATCTGCTACCCCCCTGGAGGTGTAATTAGTAATATGTCCACTTTACCTCATTACCAAACCATTGTGGATCCTAATTGTTTATCCTAATTTATAATGTTTGTTTTTATTGTTCATGTGGGGACTACCCCTATTCCTGAAGTGTATAAAAATCGGTATTTCTGTTAATAAACTATTTCCGGTTTGCATCTAAGCTAGTGTTTTGGGTGCAATGCCCAGCTATAATAATTTGGTTGTGTGTTCCAGTGGTGAGGAAGCAGTCCTCTGATGGAATCACCCAATCGGGATGACAAGCGGTCCGTCACACCATCTAATACTATTATCTTCACTAATTGACAATGCTGCTATCCAAGGGAAGAAGAGTGTTACTGGCATAATAACCAGGTGAAAATAAATACATTAATTAAAAAAATAAAACTAATGCAGCCACTACAGCTGAAATATATTACATTTTTGTCTTCAGGTTTCTTATATATATTTAAACAGTGCACCAAAAATTTCTAATCTGTTCTTTCTGTAAGTAGTTGCTTTTTCCAGACTTTTGACACTTTGCATGATCATTTTCTTTTAACTTTGTGAATGAATTGAGGTTCTGCTGACTGCCATCGTTCAGTCGTTTGCAAACAAAAGTACTGTTTTTTATTTTCCTTGCATGTGATTGGGTATTCTCTGGAAGTGGAATATCACCCACATTTACTTAGCTAACTGAAAATTCCCTTACAAAATTAACAGTCTGTTTGCATTTAGTAAATCAACCCCATTGTGTCTGCTACCATACTATAATTGTACTTTCATCAGTGCTTTATACACTTCATGCTTAATATCTGTAATTATCATTTAAATTGCTTTAATACGCTGTTATACCAATTACATACAGCAATAAACTTTATTTGTATAGGGTGTATTGTGCTGTAGAAGATGTCATTGCATACTGTGCAGTTTATAGAGTCTATGTAGGATAGTGGCAATACAATATGTGAAACCATATACTGAACGGATGAAAGGGTTTTTAGTGACCTATAGCTCTGTTCTTTTATGTAAGGATAGATTTACACATGCAGCTGTGTTTGCTGCCCCTCTGAAAAGTGATTTGTGGTGGGTTACCTTTCAGAGGCGTTTGACAGGTGGTCACTACATGTTTTACCATTGAAAATGCCACACAACCACGCTGCAACGACATAAATTACATGTGGTTGCAGGGCGGTGGCAGTGCAGCCTCTTGAGTTGAGTTCAGTGGCAGTAATGTTCACCAAACGTGGGACACAGCCCGCTCTGCTCTATGGGCAGTCAGATGTAAACGGATTACCTGTTTACACCAACCGCCCAGATGGAGGGAAACAGATCCCCTTCCATTAGTTTTTAGCAGACTGGACCAGAATAGAGGTAGGTGGTTATAAAAGGACACAAGTCTGTTTATGTCCACTGCTCCATGGAGGAGAATAGAGGGTCCGCTTGAAAAACGGACAGGCGGACCTGATCGGACCAGGGGCGAACTGACAACTCATGGGGCCCCCGTGCAATAGGGGATCATGGGGCCCCTGTGTCCTTGCCCAAACTCAAAAAAGCCTATGAAAAAGGTACCTGGGGCACCTCATGGGGCCCCCTACTGACCCCGGGCCCTCGGGCAGTGCCCGAGTTTCCAAATGGTCAGTCCGCCCCTGGATCAGACTGATCGTGTGTAAGGGGCCTAAAGATTCTATGCACCTGAAGCTGTTTCAAAATCTCTTTGCAACTGGTCACCGGTCAGTGCAATTTCTATGGAGAAAGGAAATAAAGCTTTCAACACATTTATGCCATGTCTATCATCTATTGAAGGTCCCATTCACACCCTATGCCGTACATTAATGTGTGTTGCATTAAGGCAGTGCACTTATTTTAAAAGGGCTCCCAAAGCACCACAGAAATAAACCTGTTTATTTTTTCGTGGCACAGCGCACCACAACCCTTAGTAATGTGCTACCATTTGATGTGTACACAAGGCCGGCCTGTTACCTTCGTGCAGTAAGGAAATAGAACACCTTACAAAAAGGAAACCCAGAAACAACCGTAACATACAGAATATGATTGCCCTAGCTGTATTCCCATATGTAAAATGTATCATTTAA